CCCGCACGTCTCCCGGCTGTGCGGCCGCTCCCCGGTGTGCGTGCGCCGGTGTCTCCTCAGGCTGGAGCTGTGGGCAAAGCCCCGCCCGCAGTCGGCGCAGCGGTAGGGCCGCTCCCCGGTGTGCGTGCGCCGGTGGATTCTCAGCCCCGAGACGTGCGTAAAGCCCTTGCCGCAGTCGGTGCAGCGGTGCGGCCAATTCCCGGCGTGCGTGCGCTGGTGTCGCCTCAGCTTGGAGCTGCGCGCGAAGCCCTTGCCGCAGTCGGCGCAGCGGTAGGGCCGCTCCCCGGTGTGCGTGCGCCGGTGGATTCTCAGCCCCGAGACGTGCGTAAAGCCCTTGCCGCAGTCGGTGCAGCGGTGCGGCCAATTCCCGGCGTGCGTGCGCTGGTGTCGCCTCAGCTTGGAGCTGCGCGCGAAGCCCTTGCCGCAGTCGGCGCAGCGGTAGGGCCGCTCCCCGGTGTGCGTGCGCCGGTGGATTCTCAGCCCCGAGACGTGCGTAAAGCCCTTGCCGCAGTCGGTGCAGCGGTGCGGCCAATTGTCACAGATGGATCCATTTCCCCAAGACGCACCCTGCCAGGCAGCTCCCGTCCCACTCAGGGCGCTGAGACCTGCCCTGTGGTTGAAGTACCACTCACATTTCTCCCAGCCCCAGGTATGACGGTGGGAGAAGAGGGCCAAACTTCAGTGACTGGCATTGTCACCCAGCTGCATTCTAACCCTCCCTGTCCGTCCGCCCCAGGCTGGGATTAGGGTTGCAGTGCTGCAGGGAGCGCGCTGCTCTGGCGGGACGTGGCCCCATGGGCAGGGCTGGTTAAACAGTTGCAATGAATTTAGTAAACGGGGACCTTTGCACAAGGCTGTGCCTAGTCTGCAGCCGGACTCAGGCTGGTTCTACCCAATGGGGATTGTGCAATGCCTGCTCCCCTGTGCATCTCTTGGGTCTTGTTTTATGCTTAAATTGTAGCCTACCCAGGAAACATGCAGCACCAGGCACCACGGGGCCTGAAGTTTTGTTTTCAAGCTGATTTTATTTCAATCCAGGGGATGCCGGACCCTCACCTTCTCCTGTTTGATAGCATAAGGCCTGGTCATTCTGTGTGCAAAACTAACTCTGTCATCCTCAAGAGGGTTGGACAGAGGATGTAACCTGGGAAACGTGTCTGCCTTGTTTCACATCTCAGTGACACTGCTGAGCTGGGGGGGTGAGGGGCTGCCCCCCGGCAGGCCTTTGAACTACAGAGCCACACACAGCAAGCGGGAAGGCTGAGGGTGGTGCTAAGCACATAGACAACGCAGCATCGTCCGGGACAAAGGTGACTGCTTACATGTGGGCTGGAGGGAGCTGCTCTAGCTCAGCCGGCCACCGGTTAATGGGTAAGTATCACCCAAGGGGGATACTTATTGGTTAACCGTGGACATCCGTAGGCCGCACATGGAGTTACCATGCAGCAGCTGACGTCAAGATGCACAACAATCTTCTTTGCAAACTTGCAGGTTCATCCTGGGGTGGCCAGGCCTCCGCCCGGCAGATACCAGCTCTCGCCACCTCACATTGGGCGGTGAGGCACTGCGCACCAGCAGAGAGTCGGCTGACACACACCAAACGCAGTTACAAGCCACCGTGCGCCTCATCTCTGGCGCCCTCCGTCCGACTCCACTCCCACGGCTCCAAGTTCTGAGCAATATTGCTCCTCCTAGCAGGTGAGCGGCGACCACGGGCAAGTTACTGGAGAAAGGACGCGCCCACCCAAGCATGCACCATGACTCTTTTAAACCACCCGCTGCTCGCCTGCCATCATGTCGCCCATTATGGTCTGATCTGTCATACCTCAGTGTTAGAGCAGAAACACGCTGGCAAAAGCAAGGGATCTCTGTTCTAATTCCCAACCAGTCCCTTGTCGCCAAGACCCGTCCACTTGGTTTTGACCTCTCCTGTCATCACTGGTCCCTGTTCAACAGGTTCTGGACTGAGCAAGGTCTCTATGTATCCAACTAACAGGGCTGGGGCCTTCGCGATAGCTATTTGTGCAGCCGCAGCGCAACACAGATGACGCACATGGCCAATGAATCGGTGTAGTGGTGGGCTAGAAGAACTGCATCATGCTACTGATGATGCAATCGCTTTGGTAGACGACTATGCACATGCTGAATACTGAGCCAAGAGAAGACGCAATGGGCTTAACTTGCAGCAAGGGAGGTTTAGGTTAGACACGTGGAAAAGCTTCCCAATGGTCAGGGTGGTTTAGCACTGGAACAAATTATCTAAGCAAGTTGTGGAATTGCCATCATGGGAGGATTTTAAGAACAGTGTAAACAAATACCTGTCAAGGATGGTCTAGATTATACTTAGTCCTGTCTCAGTGCAGGGGACTGGACTAGGGATGTTACATATCGGTTAATTGAATAGTCAAGTAACCTCATGAATTATCAATTAGTCGACTACTCTATAGTCCCTGTGGGCGGGGCCGGCAGCCAGTGCGCTCTTGCCTCACTCCATCAGAGACAGCAGCACAGGGTGCCAGATGGGAGCTGGTCTGCGAGGGGAGCCAGTTTAAAACCCAGCTCCCCTTGTGGATCTGTGCTGTTGCCCTGTGCTGCTGCCTCTGATAGAGTCGGGAGTGAGGCCAGAGCCAGGTGAGAGGATTATTCTAGGAGGGGTGGGTGAGATTTTGTGGCCTGCACTGTGCAGGGGGTCAGACTAGATGATCATAATGGTTCCTTCTGACCTTAAAGTCTATGAGTCTATGACTATAGAATAGTCGACTAACTGATAATTCATGAGGTTACTCGACTATTCGATTAACTGATATTTAACATCCCTAGTTCAGTCCCCTGCACTGAGCTCCTGGACCTGGTGCGAGCCGGAACTGAGCTGGGCTGCTGGCCAGCCTGCTAACAATTAACTGGCAAGTGGGGGGTGGGGGGAGGGAGAATGCGTGTAATCTGTAGCATTAACCTACTAGCTTTTGCTTATCGGTTAATTGACTGCACTGTTACATCCCTACACTGGACTAGATGAGCTACCGAGGTTCCTTCTAGTCCTACATTTCTAGGCTCTCTGTGAGCCATCGATATCAAGGCCAAATAGACTCATTTTACCCACCTCACCTGGTTTCCTGCCTACCTCAGCCAGAGGATCTGCCCCAGCCATTCCTGCCTGCGGCCCAGTAATTCCTGGCGGAGTTAGAGCTGGGCTTTAAGAGACGCCCCATCTCCAGTGACACACTCCCAGTGATCAATAATCCACCCTGACCCGACCGGACCTCTCCCAGCGGTTCACTCCTCTTCCATAGCAACACTGGCACCCGATCCCCAGCCTCAGCTAGTCTCCCCTCAGCACCCAGGGAGCGACTCTCGCTCCACCTTCTACATTAAGGAGCCCTCTCTGAGCAGCTGTGCAGATCAGAAGGGACCGGAGAGTTGTCACTCACCTGAAGACTCTCCCTCCGGCCAGGAACTTTCCTTAAAATTCTCGGCATCCTGGATCCAGAGCTCTGCCTCCCCGAGCTCGATCCGGCAGATTAAATCCGGGGTGGAGCCTGAAAAGCCTGCGGGAGGGGACAGGGCGAGTTTTATTACTCAGGTTTTGGGGGCAGGGATTGGTTTGGGTGTGGGTGCAGCCCAGCACAACGGGGCCCCATCTCGGACAGGGTGTGTCTGTGCAGCCCTGGCACGGCCGGGCCGCAGTGGCAGACGCTGACGCTGCTTCAGAGGTACGCGCCAAGATCCCAAACAGCATAATCAGACCTGCCAAAAACAGGGTGGGGGGGCAGTTGCCCTTGGGCTCCAGTTGTCACCATTGCTACCGGGGCAGCGCCTTTAAATCGCCTTTAGATCGCCACTGTGACATTCCACCCAGCTTTTACAGCTGCCTGAGGAGGTGGGTGCACCATGGGGCAGGCTCCAGGCAGTGCTGTGTGGGGCCCCCCACGCCTGGGCGATGCTGAGGGCTGTTTTCCCTTGACCCCACCCCTTCCAGGAGCATGGAGCCACCCACACCCCTGTCTTGCCAAGGCACCCAGCATAGCTGTCAGCTCCATGGAGCATAATAAAATCAACCTTCTCTAGAGGAGATTTCTTTCCCTCTCCCACCAGGCAAGTTCACTTCCTACCCTGAAGCAGCAACATCTGTGACCATGCTCAGCTAAATCATGGCAGGCGTCACTGGTACACGGACCTATCGGCTCTTCTGCTTGGGGTGCAGGCATTGTTCGAGGCTGTACGTGTACCACGTTCATTCTTCCTGGGCAGGTGGGGAGCTGTGACAAGCAGCAGCTGTTTTTCCCTTGGCTTATTTGCCTGGGTGCTATTTGCAACCACTTCTGTGCCAGGACGGAGGTACAGAATGCAAGGCTAGCCCCAGGGGTGCAGCCCTGCTCTCTGCATTGGCTGGGAGCCGGCCTGAGAGGGGCTGACATTTGACATTTGCCACCACGGGGATGCAGCCACACCTGGCAGCTGTGGCCTGGAGCGGGCCCAGACACTGCACCGCTTTTAGGAAAGGGAACTTGGTCCTTACCCAGGGAAACCAGGGCCCGGTAATTCCTCAGCATCTGCTCCCGGTACAGCTGCTTCTCCGGCGGGGACAGGAGCTCCCACTCCGCCCGGGTGAAATACAGAGCCACGTCCTCGAACGCCACCGGGGGCTGCTGGTACAAGCGACCCGCACTCAGCGCCCGACAGTCTCAGCAGGGGGCACCCCCAGGCCAGCAACCGACCATGCCATGCATGCACTGGGGGAAAGTGGCTACAAGGGAGAGGGGGCAGAAGGGAGGGGCCAGGATCTAGCCTGCGTGGGCTGCTGCTTCCCAGGAGTAATTCCTCCCCTGCCCTGACCTAACTGATCAGAGCTGTACCTATGGACAGGGATGGAACAGCACACGGCCCCCTCCCCAGAAACCCTTAAAGCCAGGAGCTAGACTGGGCCCACAGGCCATGCCGCAGCTAGCAGAGAGACCCCCGACTTCTCCCCTCCAGCCTACCTGCCTTCCAGCTGCGTGATTTAGGCAGCCCCTGGAAAAGTGTATGAAAAGGTGTCTCTGTGTAGGCAAGTGTGTGCATGCATGCGCTGTACATATGGCTTTGTGTTGGGAGGCGAGTGTATTGCCACAGAGGGTGTACATCTGTGTGAATAAAATTTGCAACCTAACTCTGCCACTTGTATCCCTTTTCCTGCTTTGTGCACAACAAAGGTGATGATATAAAATGTGCGTGTGTGTGTTCATTTCCTAACACGTTTTTAAAGAGGAGGGAGCGCTAAAAGAACTATTATTTCTTACAAAGTGAGTGTTGTTGACTAGTAATTGCAGAAGAGCCAATCTACCCTACATTTCTCACCTCCTGTGGTTAGCTACTTTATAAACTCTCTGGTTACATCTACCTTGGCAAGATTTTGCGCAAATACTCTTTAACGCAAGCGTTTTTGTGTTAGAGTATTTACTCAAGAGAGCGTCTACACAGGCATGTGCCTTTGCGCAAGAGCATCCGTGCCAGTGTAGACGCTCTCTTGCACAAGAAAGCTCCCCGGGCCATTTTAGCCGTCGGGCTTTCTTGCGCAAGAAATTCATGTTGCCTGTCAACACTGGCCTCTTGCGCAAGAACAGTTACACAAGAGGGCTTATTCCTGAGCGGGAGCATCATAGTTCTCGCGCAAGAAGCCCTGATTTCATACATTAGAACATCAGTGTTCTTGCGCAAGAACTCCCTGCCAGTGTAGACAGGCACCATGTTTTTGTGCAAAGGTGGCTGCTTTTGCGCAAGATCGCGCCAATGTAGACACAGCCCCCACGTTTTGAGGATTGGAGAAAAATGCCTTCCAGTGAGCCATGGCAAGAGCTCAACTTGTTTAGGCAAGAGGCGACTTCCGTGAAGTGGCTTAATAGAAAGAAACTATCTGGTATTAAAGGGCTCATTAATCCAGCAAAGAAAGGCAGAGCAGGAACCACTGGCTGGAAATCGCACACACACCAAGCCCTAATTAGAAATAAGGCACAAATAGTCACCCATCACCAGCTAGGGGGATTCCCTACTGGCAGAAACTGACAACGGCAGTAGTGAGTCCTCTGATATATTGTAATGAAGACTAGATAGTTTCTGACCAAACAGTCCAGAAAAACATCTCCTATGCCATGCAGAGGGTCAGATGAGTTGGTCTCTTCTAGCCCCAAAGTCTCCTACTTCATGCCCAGCTGAGTGTAGCATGGGGGGCAGCCTCTGGTGTTTTACTGTGTAGCACGAAGGGGCCCCAGAATTAACATTGTCTCCTTCTTTTTGAGGACTGAGAGAACATTCTGGTTCATACACATGAGCACCCAGAGGAGTCTCTGTTAAGTTTTCTCCTTTCCTTTGCCTGATTTGACTAGAGAACAGAACATCCCTGTTGAAAAGGCAAGAGCCTCTGAGGGTTTGGAATCTGGTCAGTATGATCTACTTGGTGCTGGCTGAATTCTAAGCATGGAAAATACTGGATAGAAGTGGCAGAATTTGATTTTGCCCCTAGGGCTTAGATAAATCGCCATGTCCCTAATAATTCTATTTGCTTTCCCATTTCCTCCCTCTGTCCTTCCCACTTCTCTCTCCTTTTCTTTCCCCTTTTGTCCTTTTCCCTACTCCCTTACCTACACAAGGAGCTTTGTGGGCTAGTGGAGGCAGTGGTGGAGTTTAGTCTCCCATTTTCTGGGCCCTACGTGTACAGAGTTGGCATGTAGCTGTTTTGGGATACCACAGTATCCCAGCCTACCTATCCCACATCACAGCAAGTCTGTTACTTTAGACTCACTATTCCAACATCCCTGTAAAACCTCATTCTACAAGGAGTAAGGGACATTTTGGAATAGTGTTTTATTTTGAAATCTGGCATGGTGTAGACCATGCCAAATGACAAAATAAGCTATTTTGAAATAAGATATACACTTTGCATAGCTCGAATTGCATATTTTATTTCAAGTTACAGTGCTGTGTAGATGCACCCTAAAAGTCTCGTCGCTGACTGGCTGAGCAGTGGGTGATGGACAGAGAGTAGTGCAGGTCCTTTAAAAAAAAAAAGCGCCTAAGCAAAGAAGTCATAACCACTGGCTGTTTGATGAATCTGGGTCTCTCTCTCCAGTCATTGTCTCAGATAAGTTCACATTTCTCCATCATTCCAGTTCTAAAATACTTGAATAGTGATCATTTGAAAGCACTTCCTTTGGGCCATTTCTTGTATGAAATTTAAGATGTGATGGTTAGTTTGCCATGGGGCTTTGATGTGAGGAATGGATTCCCAGGAGGAGCCCAGACTCCTGGGTTCAGTTCCTTCTCTGGCTGAGGCAGAAGTGCACGCTGGCCAAGGAGGAGGGATGGATGCCTAGGGCTCTCCCTTGCTTTGCAGACTCTGAACAAGGCCTTGCCGGAGACCCTGGATGCTATGCTGGGGAAATCTGCTGTGGCCCCAGCCATAGGCAAGCTTCACATTATCTTGGCAGTGAGCCCCATGGGGAGGGGCAAGGGGCAATTTTACATTAACACTTAGGAAGACTGGAGCAGGTGGGAAATGGATCCTTCCAGTCTGTCCTTCTAGCTGGGCTCCCAGGAGTCTGTCCTTGGTCAGGGCAATGTAGTACAAAGCCCTGCCTCCTTCAAGGGCACAGGAAGGAGCTGAGGCCTCTAGCCTGAGCTCTGCCTGGTTGTCTAGCACTAACTGCTTTGTCTAGAGAAACAAGAGTCTGAACCCTCCTCCCTCAGAAGAGCACAGGCTCTTCCTTCCTAGGAAATAAGGGCTGATTCTCCGAGGCCATCCTCTGTGAGAGGCCTTGAGATTCCTGGGGCAAACATGCTCAGTTGCTTCTTTCATCCAACCAAGGACTTGAGAGCCAGGGAGGGGGAAGGAGACAGACCTTCTGCCCAGGGAGCTGCTCAGGCAACAGAAGTTCAGGCTGTCCCTGACACCAAACATTGTCCCCAACCTAGAGAGACACTGACAGGTTGCGACTCCAACTCCAGCATTGTCCTGGAGTTCTCTCATACTCAAGGATCTATGCCAATGGGTGTATCGCCCAGTGGTTTGTGGAAAGGAAGCTCAGGGTGACAAGTAGTAGCAGCAAGTGGCCCCTGTTGTTGGGCAAATGGTGCTCTACTGCCACACAAAGCACTATGAAGGTAGCCCTTAACTATTGGCAGGGTAGGGCTACCCTGAGCAGTACAGCGTCATAACCACTGGCTGTTTGATGAATCTGGGTCTCTCTCTCCAGTCATTGTCTCAGATAAGTTCACATTTCTCCATCATTCCAGTTCTAAAATACTTGAATAGTGATCATTTGAAAGCACTTCCTTTGGGCCATTTCTTGTATGAAATTTAAGATGTGATGGTTAGTTTGCCATGGGGCTTTGATGTGAGGAATGGATTCCCAGGAGGAGCCCAGACTCCTGGGTTCAGTTCCTTCTCTGGCTGAGGCAGAAGTGCACGCTGGCCAAGGAGGAGGGATGGATGCCTAGGGCTCTCCCTTGCTTTGCAGACTCTGAACAAGGCCTTGCCGGAGACCCTGGATGCTATGCTGGGGAAATCTGCTGTGGCCCCAGCCATAGGCAAGCTTCACATTATCTTGGCAGTGAGCCCCATGGGGAGGGGCAAGGGGCAATTTTACATTAACACTTAGGAAGACTGGAGCAGGTGGGAAATGGATCCTTCCAGTCTGTCCTTCTAGCTGGGCTCCCAGGAGTCTGTCCTTGGTCAGGGCAATGTAGTACAAAGCCCTGCCTCCTTCAAGGGCACAGGAAGGAGCTGAGGCCTCTAGCCTGAGCTCTGCCTGGTTGTCTAGCACTAACTGCTTTGTCTAGAGAAACAAGAGTCTGAACCCTCCTCCCTCAGAAGAGCACAGGCTCTTCCTTCCTAGGAAATAAGGGCTGATTCTCCGAGGCCATCCTCTGTGAGAGGCCTTGAGATTCCTGGGGCAAACATGCTCAGTTGCTTCTTTCATCCAACCAAGGACTTGAGAGCCAGGGAGGGGGAAGGAGACAGACCTTCTGCCCAGGGAGCTGCTCAGGCAACAGAAGTTCAGGCTGTCCCTGACACCAAACATTGTCCCCAACCTAGAGAGACACTGACAGGTTGCGACTCCAACTCCAGCATTGTCCTGGAGTTCTCTCATACTCAAGGATCTATGCCAATGGGTGTATCGCCCAGTGGTTTGTGGAAAGGAAGCTCAGGGTGACAAGTAGTAGCAGCAAGTGGCCCCTGTTGTTGGGCAAATGGTGCTCTACTGCCACACAAAGCACTATGAAGGTAGCCCTTAACTATTGGCAGGGTAGGGCTACCCTGAGCAGTACAGCGGTGCAGGCTCTGGGGTGGAAGTCAGACCCGCCACGTTCTATGACCAGCTCTAATTAATGTTGTGCATTTGGGCAGGTCGGTTTGCCTCCAGGCCTTGGTTTCTCCATCTGTAAACAGAAAGATTACACCCCCCCACCTGCACCATGGGGAGCTTGAGCTCAAATGGATGCAAAGTGTTACTTTTAGCAGTACTCCTCCCTGGCTCTTCAGCAGGGTTGAGTCCAGGACCTCAAGCACCAAAGCCCAGACCTTTAGCATTTTCAGGACAGAGTTCATGCTGCTGCGATTTGTGAATCTGGCCTTGCCCAGATTTTCCCTATGCCAAAGCGGTGTTGATGTACACAGCAGTCAGACATTGCCTCTTAAGTGACGGGTAGTGGGGACTGGACACAGACCTTTTAGCAGAGGTTCTATTGCTTGGTGTTCATTAACCCACTAGCAAACAGCAAAGGACAGGGTCAGTGTTTAGAGCACATGTCTAGGATATGAGACCCCAGTTCAAGCCACTGACCTGCCACAGCCATCTTGTGTGATCTTAAGCAAGTCCCTTAGTCCATGCCTCAATTCCCCCACTCTTACCAGGAGGTAGAACAGCACGGCCTTGTCTCGCCATCACAGGAGTGCATGAGAATAAAATACTGTAGCATCTGAGCAGCTCAGTCAAGTGTAATCAAACTCTAGACAAGCCCCTTACATGGTCCTACCAGTGGACCCACCCTGCACCAATTTGCCTTACACTGGTACCTGCCTCCAGCCTGCTCTGAAGGAGCCACTCACTTTCCCCAGACACACACTTTAAAAACTTTTTATTTATATAAAAAATCATTTTGTTTTAAAAGCATTACAAGAGTGCGCGCAGCAATCAGACAAAGAACAGGTTCTCCACACCCCAGCTCAAGGGGTGTAGAAGAGAGCAAGATAGTTATTGGTTCCCCGCTGCAGGCGCTAGAGCAGTCTGAGGGAAAGGAGGAGTTTTTGGTTCATCTGGAATTAAAAAAAGGAATTAGTGTTTTACATACATTAAGAGTCAGACCCCAGAAAGACAGCTTGGATTTGTACTTCAGTCCCTTCCAAGAAAAAGAGGCTGGAAGCGACAGAGATGGGGTTGGAGAGGCACAGATCTTCCAACCCAGACCTTCCCCCTTGTGTAGTGCATGCATAGTGGGAGGGGGACGAGATGAGAATCCCATCTGAGTACACAACCTAGAGCAACCCAGGTCCAGTTTGTGGCCTCAGGGGGAAGCTTCCAGTTGCACTATGTACAGGAGAGGGGCTAGGAATATCTTCCATGGGGAGGCAAAGACACACCCCCTTCATCAGAGCTCCCATGGTTCCCCCTTTCACCTGGCTGAATGGAATGGACCACTTGGTGTTCCCACCTGAGTCCCTGAAGCTTCCTGTCTCAGCAGGCCATTCCGTGCAGGCCGACAGTGCTCTCCCTTGCCCACCTCATGCCAGTGAGCATTAAAGGACGACAGAGGAGCTCCTATTGATCTCCCCTGCCCAAACATTCCTAGAAATCCAGCTATCCACACTAAGGCCAGAATCTCAAGTGGGGAGGAGAGTAGGAGCTAGTCTATGTCAGAGATCCCCAACCCCTTAAATCCAAACATACTCCTCCTCTAAAAGGCAAGAGAGCCTATGGAGTTGGAAGAAACTGTTTCACAGTGGCAAAGAAAGGCACATGTCGAGAGACCGACAGACACTGCCGCATTCACCCGACGTGTTTGGGCTGGGGTTTTCACTTCCTACCCCCACCCATCCCAATCCATCACCCCCTCTCCTGGCATATCCTAAAGTCATGGCACCTCTCAGACTCAGGCCAGTTAACAAATCCATGCATCCCTTAAAGAACCCCCCACATCCTTTTCCCATCTGAGAGCCAGCCCTGCCTGTGCGCCATCAGGATTCTCCCCCTCAACCTCTCCCCCAAGCCGGCTCCTCTCTCAACTACCTCCTCCCCCCTGCAGACAACCTGTCTAGATGAACACACTCACGCCTAGGCCCCATGAAAGAGTGGGGAGTAAAGTGATCCAATCCCCATCCCCCACACATCCATTTACACGCCCTCCTCCCTCCTATTTAAGAGGGGATAGGCCAACCAAATAGATTAAGTCAACTCAGGACAGACCCCACCCCCCCAGCCATCTGGCATTCAAATCATGAGACGAGTCATGATTTTCCCCCTCCCCTTCCCAGCAACTGCCAGTCCCTGCCCCTCCCATCACCACTGCCTGGAATGTCCCCATATTCCCAGCATCCTTTGTTGCCAAGTGATCACACAAAAATATATTCTATAGGCTAAGAGAAGGAGGTGGTGGCCTTTGACCCCTGCCTCCACAAGCAGAGCGGATGTCTCTTAAAGGAGAAAGTAGTCCTGGTACAACAGGGCTCCACTGAGATCCACTGTGTGCTCTGAGTGCTACAGGAGCTGGTAGTGTCAGAGGAGGAGTTCCTTGAAGAGAGTCTGCCTTAGCCGCTCCAGTGAGAGTCATCAGAAGTATTTGGTCTGCAGGAGTTGCTCTTGGAAGGAAAGATAAAAGGCGTCCAAGGATCAAGGTGCAGCCATCTACAGAAGGGAGGGAGGGGGCCCTGTCCAGATGTCCCCCACTTCCAGGCAGAAAGGGTGCAGAGGGCCAATCATTTGGCTGGGTAGTTGGCACAAACAGTCCAGCAAAAGTAAGGTAAAAAAAATCAGTCCATTCCACCACTAAGAGTTGTATATAACATACTAAAACCCAAACTGAGCGGAGGCAGGGAGGAGACTAGATCTTCTGCTGTGGAGAGAGAGGAGAACAGGTCAGCATCAGGGTGTGGGGGTGTGGAGAGTTGCTGCCAAGCAGGAGCACAATGCACACCAAGCAAAACAAATCAAGGTACGATTATGGTCACGGATCAGCAAGTGATTGGGATCTGGAATCGAGGATGATTTGACTGGCCAAGCACCACGGGATTGCCCCAGAAGTTTATCCTCCAGCTCCCTGGAGCAGGAGACTCAGAGGGAGTCTGGGACATACCATAGGGGGATAAGCCAATGAGTCATCATCCTCCTCATGCAGGGATTCCTGCCCTTCCTCCTCCTGCAGACACACATTGTTAGTAGGGTGTGGGGAAGGATGCAAGAGACAGGAAGGGAGAGGGGGAGGCTGAACTTGGATACTGGGGGTGGAGGGGGGGAGAGAAGACTGGGACTGTTCAGGCAGAAGATGGGGCAGAGCAGAAAAGCAGAGTCAGCTGATAAAGCCCAGGTTTTCGTCGCACTGTCTAACACAGAGGCCAACAAGTATCTCTCTTCGTTTACCTGTCCTGAGCCTTCCCTCCCTACCAAGCCCAGGTTTATGGGATCCCAGTAAGCACAGCTGGGGACTAAAGACACATTCGAGCAAGTCTTACCATCAGCGGTGCTCCCTTCAGTGGCTCCACATCACCCAGGTCTCCAGACCGGTCTAGGGTTCTGTTGTGGTCTCTCGTGTCCAGTGTAGAGTAGTTGTTCTCTGGGTCAGGAGGACATTGGACAAGTGAGACCAACCCCTCCGCACAGCAGCTGTGAGCTTAAACAGGCACAACTGGCTTCATGAGGCCAAGAGCTATTTAAAAAAAACAACCTTCCCTATCCTTTGTACATTTCCTCCCATTCCAGGGTTTGCACCTGCCTCAAACACATCCTGCTGCTTAGATCAGAGTCACTCCTGCCCTCCCACAGATAACCATGAGCTTTCATCTGCGTGCATGTGCCAGTTTCCTACCTGGTCCCATGTTGCTCATCTGGATCTCCTCTCGGGAGGATTTCTTATCTAGAGAGAGAAGATGGGTGTTTCAGACACCAGACCTGCAGGTTACTCACCCTACCAGGCAACCTTCGGGCAGCAGAGAAGCTGGTTCATGTTTCAAGCACATCCAGGCAGGCACTTCATTTTGGAGAAGTTAGCTGGCTCACAAACCCAGTTCAAGATGCTATAGGGCATAGGCAGGCAGACTGTGGCTCATGAGTCACATGCAACTTGGGTACCCTGCTGCCCTCATTTTCTACCTACCAGAACTGGAGTGGGGGGGGCTGGAGAGAAGAAGCATGCTCAGAACTGCTGCCTTGCAACAGAATGGGGGGGGTATGGGATTCTACTCAGTTTTGGAGTTTCTGCCCAGCAAGGTGTGTTTGCTAGGGCTTGAGGTTTTAACATGAGTGGACTGAAGTCTTGAGCTTCATTGGGCACCTCCAATGAGTCAAGCCCTGAGCCCTGGCAGGACTGCCCTTGGCTCTTCTGCAGATTGTTGTATGCGGCATGGAGGGCAAATAAATGTGACCACCCTGCAATAGGGCCTTTATAAAAGACCGTTAAATTCAGGAGTTAGACTGAACAAAGTTACATTTGCAGCACAGACTCACTATCAAACAGCTCCCTGTGAACTACCAAGAGTGAGGCGAGAGGCAGCTCTGAGCCCGGGGAGCCCACTAAGCACACCAGACAACAGTATTTGCAGCAAGAGCAACTGAAGCCCTCTGAACATACTGAGCCAGCAGGCATAACTGGACTGAGGGGGAAGGAGTGCTGCTGGACATTCTCCCCTTCACCAACGTGGAAGTACTGCATGGCTGTCTACAGGGGGCAGTGTGACCTACCTGCTTTTTGGTTCCTGTCAATGAGTGGCAAGGTGCTGTCATCGAATGAGTTACCTCCCTGGTTCCGAGAGGCATTGTTTAGATTCACCTGAAACAGGAGAGGGGCCTGTAACATCCATGACCCCACACATCCCTGATGCTAGATCACACATATATAGGTCCCTTAGCCCCCGCACCAAGTTCCGCAGGTCTGTTTAGCAGGAGCTCAGATTCTGATGTTGCTGGACTGAGCCACATGTGCTGCCCTCTAGCGGCCGAAGCCCTAGCGGTAAAGCCCATGGCAGGGCAATGGCATGTACACTGGAACCTCAAAGTTGCTGGCCAGCGAGAGGTTCAATGTGCAGGGGAAGACCAGATTTGACCTGGCCAACACAACTTCTACAAGGAGTTGAGAGAATAGCAGTTTGTCTAGAGGAAAGATTCATGTCATATAGACGCCTGCATGTGCACATGGGATCCAGTATCAGATGCTCAGATACAGATGCTCATCTCACGAAAGATGCCTGGAAAGGCAGGAACAGCCCATCCCCATCTGTCAAATGGGAATTAAAGCAAGAATTTTAAGATCAGCTCCTCAAGAAGTAGCCAGGCTGTCCAGAGAGCACAGAGGCAGCACCCAACAGTATCTATTGAAAAACAAGAACCTTGCCAGCCTCCTTATGAATAGCAGCTGCTACACTCTGAGTAGCTGGCACCACATGACTTGCCCATGGTCACACACGAACATCTGTGAAACTGAACCCAGATGTCCAGAGTACCATGCCAGTGTGTTAGCCACAGGAAAGCCTTCCTCCCCAGGATTTCATAGCAACACATTTGGGATCCTGACCCACCAGGAGGGCAAGGCCAGCCCAAACTGTCCCTTGCTCAGCCACCACAGAGAAGGAGTCTAAACATGAAGCATTATTAGAAAGGTGCTAAAGGGTCCAGTGGAGATCCACTCCTCGAACAGGAACCTTCTCTCTCCACCTTCTGAGAGCTAAATGACCCCTATTAAAGAGCTTCTCAGTCACATCAGGTACCTGGAAGTCAGATTTCTTCCATCCTTCCTTCTCCAGTGGCTTCCGCAGTTCCTTATACCCCCAGATTGTCTGCAGGACTAGGGCAGCAGCTCTGACTTCCCTCTCTGATCGGTTCCTGAAAAAAGCAAGACAATGACATGAAGATGCAGTATGGGTTAATATCCAATCCCCCTTCAGTGATGCATGAGCAGATGGGGTGGGGAGAAAGGGCAGGAAGTGAGATTCCAGCACCCCTTTCCCCTGCCCCCTGGGACACACCTACCCTGATTTGTTGATCAGCACCAGCTTCTCAATGCCCTGAGTCTCCCTCAGTTTTTTTGCTGCCTCTAGGTTGTCCACAATGACCTCATTGATTGTATTCAGGATCGATACCACCGTGTCCTCAGACAGGTTCTTGGCTGGGGTTTGCTGCCCACCTGGCAGATTCTTCACTAGGTTTGGGATTGCATGTTTACCTGGAGTGGGGGCAGGAGGGAGAGTCAGTCACAATGGATCAGAAGGTGTGAGCAGAGATTAATTGGTGGAGCCACACAAGAGGGATCAAGAGGATGAATGGACAAAAGTGTTAAACCATTAGTAGTTTGAAGCCTCTCTCCCTCCCCATAGCTTAATGGAGGCACAGTGCAGAAGAATGAATATAAGAACGGCCAAACTGGGTCAGACCAAAGGCCCATTTAGAGTTTGACAGTATCCTGTCCTCCAACAGTGACCAACACCAGATGCCCCAGAGAGAATGCAGAACAGGGAATCGTCAAGTGAGCCATCCGGTCACCATTCCCAGCTTCTGACACAGAGCACAGCTCCCATCTTATGTTAGATGTAGTTAAGTGAAGGGGCGAAATAGAAGTGTGCAGTTTCCACAGGAACAATGGGCATCACAGTACCTTTTGGGTGGCAAGAGAAGAGAGCAAGAGCTAGCTCTGGAATGATGCAGAGACAAGCTATGGTCTTTTTCGTATAGCAAAGTGTGGGGGGGAGGGGGGAAGTAGAGAGAGAGAAGAGCAGCAGCTACAGAGTAGGCATCACCTTCACAGTTCTTACCTATCAGCTCTTTGTTGCGGGAATCCACTGCGAGGTTGCGCAGGGCTCCAGATGCTGCTTTCACAACCCGCTCACTCTCGTCAGTCAGGAGGTCGGCAATAGCGGAGAGCCCCTTCTCCTGGCGCAGTGCTGAACGGATGTACCGGCCATACTGCAGGGGGACAAGAGCAAAGTGCCACAGACTTACAGAGAAGGCAGGTGAGAGGGGTCCACAGTCTGATGGCATTATGCCCGCCCCCCCTTGCATCTCTATTGCTGACATCCAACCTGAATCCTGCTTCTACTGAGCCACTCTCCACCCCCCTATCATGCAAGGAGGGTCCTCCCCAGCAGGAGCATGGGAATCATCCCAGCCAAACATCCACAACATGAGATATCACTGAGGTGAGAAGTGTCCTCTAACAAGAAACTATTCTGTTCTGCTGTGGTATTAACTGTGTGCTTCAGGCTGTCCATGGAGTACCTGGGCTAGGTGGTTATTCTCATTCAGGAGAATGAATAAGAGGCTCATATAATGGCTGAGTCACCACAGCAGACACACCGCCTACCCTGGGTCTGGAAACTAGTAGTACAGCACAGGAGAGGCCAGGTTCTGCCTTGATAGACTTAATAGCACAAAATTAACTCCTTGTCCAGATACAACACAGGAACCAGAGCCGTGCTGCAAGTACCACTAAGATAGAAGGGCAAGTTGTGTCCTACTTCAGAGCACGTGCCATGGACTTACTGCACAGGGTAAGGAAGAAACTGCCTATGGGACCAGCCAATAAGTGTTGTCCATGACAGCACTTCTCACACCTTCATCTGACACAGCCAGCCAGTGCGGCCACAGAGAAGGATCCATCACGGGAGAGGCCACTGACTGACATTTGTATTGCAGGAGCATGGTGGAAGCCTCAACCAACTCAGGAGTCCAGTGTGTCAGGCATGGGGCAAGGGCAGTTTCTGTCCCAGAGACTTTGAGCCAGAATACAATCTACTACGTGGTTACGGGCAACCCTGCCAGCCACTAGAGAAAGTTGTGTTTAATGGAGGGTTGACTTACACACACAAAAAAGGAAAATCAGAGGCTTCCCAAGAAGGTAGGGCCACAATAAGTCATGTTATTCTGACAGCTTGCGTAGCACATGCAAGATGCTGCTTCAAAGGCACAAGTAACTATTAGCTGGCCTTTGGCATCGGATAACTGTGGAACGCCAATAAAACACTAAGGACCCTTTTGTGGGACAGTAAAATCAGAGCTCCGGATTGGTCTTCCCTGCAACATAATCCTCTGTTCCAATCTTCTCTCTCTCTCCTCCTACAGTAGGAGCTGCTCAGCACTCCTGCATGAGGCTTAACCTCAGAAAGCCCATCACTGGCTTGCACAACCACCCAGATTGCATGCTAATTATTCAGAGAGTTTATGCCTAGGGCACAGATAGCTGGAGATACTGGGCAGAAGGGGACTCGGCAGCATTTATGCTGAAGGAGTGCCCAGGCATGGCTCCAGAGGCAGGGGTATGTGCTACGATTAGAATTAAATGCTCTCCAATGTCTTGACTTGTGGTTGGATCCATGATGAGTTGGGGAGTGGGACATGGTTCCTACAGCTGCTTTGTCATCACGGTAATGCTGGAAAGCATAAGTTACACTGTACAAAACACAGACGAGAACTTACAGTTTGACATTCAAGAAACACTGTCCATTTTCTGCCTGTGCTACTGAGTAGCTTCAGTTTAGTTTCCCCATATGGGGTCCTAGCTACAAGATTAAAACTGAGGTGCCTGGTTCCTCTATGCCAGTACTGGATGGATGATCCCTCCTTTCTGATGTGCCCTAACCCCACCCAGATTCAAGGCTTCAGTCTCTCTGCATTTTTAAATATCAGATTTCCAGTCTCTCTCTGGCTGTGACTCACCGTCCAGCGACCAGCACATAGGTTCTGGATGGCTCCTGCTGAGGCCTCTAGGATAGCAGGGGTTTTGCTCTCCTTCAGCAGCGAGATATATATCCGAACTACTTCTGGTTGGAAGAGGAGCTCATACCCTAGAAAATGTGACGGAATAACAGGTAGGGGTTATTTGAGAGGTTCATTAAGTATGCCATTATTTATTCTTAGCTATCAAATATGTTACACAACTGATATAAAGAACATGTTTTGCCTCTCTCCTTATGACTAGAACTAGAGCAAAACCAATTTTGTTTTTAACCAATGCCCCATAGCACTAGAAATCCAGACAACTGGCACTCCTGCACTAGCCCAGATAGTTACTTCCATCAATGCAGTGGCATGACTGTCTTTTTGCTGCTAAGATAATCCCTACATTTGGTCGGGCCACAACAATGGCTTGGTACAGGGGGAACAGAGATGATGCAACCCTCATCACTGGTAGATACTTAGCACCTACAGAACTAGTTCAGGCAACTAATGTTTACAGGATCCTTTCCCACCTACACATGGGACACTTCAGTGCTCCACATACAGCCACAACTGCACATAATAGGTCTTCAAACCAGCTCAGCTGGAAGCCCTGAAGTTGCAGTGACAGCCACATGATGAGATCAGACAGAGGTGTCTGTCTCTAATCCTGCAAAGTGCTTTACTGAAAGACTTGTCTGCCCACTGTTTGAGTATGATGCACTCTCATGAGCACACGTCACTTTGAAGTAGAGCTGTTAGAGTGTCACTGAAAAAATTCATTCTAAAAATGGCCTTTTTGAAAGCCAAAAGTTCCTCCAAGTTATTTATGAATTCTCAGAAATAAAGTTCAGGTTTATTTCTCCACAGCCCCATTCTCCAGTGGGAGACAGGAAGGAAAAAAAACAAACAAAAAATCAAAATTTTTTATCCAAAAAAAAAATTGAGATGAGAGATTTCGTTCCGAGGGTTTCAAACCCCATACCTTTCCCAGACAGTCCTGAATGCCTGCAGCTCCTAGAGTTTAGTGTTCACTTTTTATTTTACAAAAGATGTAATGTTTACACAGAATCTTCCTGGTTTCTAGAGACACCGGGACATCTGCCAATACCACTGCTGCAATTATTGTGCACAGCAGGAAAGTTTAATTTTAAACAGTAGCTACCGGAACATTGTCATGACAAAGGTATGCCTAGTATAGCCCTTAACTTGGCTAGGTCATGTGTGGCTCCAGGCACCGTTGGTGCTCATCTACCCGCCCCCACCACCCAAATCACCATAGTATCTGAGCACCTCAGAATGTACTTATGTTCAACACTCCTGGTGAAGCAGGGAAGTGCTGTTATCCCTGTGCAGGCTGGGAGCTGAGGCCGTTACCTTCCCAAGGTCACCAGTGTGGTGCAGCAAGAAATTGACCCCAAGTCCTACGCTAGTGCCCAGCCACTGCACCATCTTCTCTTATAAGCCAAGAAAGAGTGGCTCTTCCCAGAAGTCACATATGTGATGACTATTACACTAGGCAGCATTTATTTTAGTGTAATTGTTTTACAAAGGGTGGAGATACGAATCTTGATTTAACTGGCTTTCATTTAAGGAGCTTAAGAAGATTACCAGGAGCTGGGGGAGGAGAGCAAGGTAGAGCAAATGCACTGGGGAGTATACCTTTTGCAGGGCTTGTTCTTTTGGGAAAGTCCACTGCATCAGTACCAGGCTCTTCTAGAGGTTTTTTACCTTCAAACAAGAGTAAGAGCAGTGAATACAAGATATTAGCATAGCTTATTCCATCTCCTCCCTGCCCAATTCTTCATTACACTTGCTCCAATTAATAAGCGAATCAGAATAAACCCAGCAGTACTGTGGCCATAGTTGGGGCATTTCTTCCTTAGCCAGTGCTGTGAACCTCCACCCCACATGCACCATTGGGAAGGGGGCAAAGGACAGAACCCAACAAACCACCATAAGAGGGAAAAGACAAGCGCATACTCACCTTTGGAGAACCACTCGTCTATGGGCGAAGCGGAGAGAAGGACAGGAGAGAGAGGAAGCAGGAGAAGACAGATGCCAACAGGATCGCAGGGTGGTTTGGCAGGAAAGCAAGGAGAAGGGAAAAAAGGGAGATGGGAAAAGCCTGAAGTTAGTGGCGATCCTTTCATCACTTCCATGCCAACACAGCACATCAACCTAACACAGGGCCCTGAACACCAAGAGCTAGAGATGCAGGCAGAGCTGTCTCACCGCTATCACAAGAGGTCTTGGGGAAAGCAGTGATTGAACCATCTTGCTTGATACTGTTCAAGCATGATGGAGCAGGCCTCATCCTCTTCCCCTTTTCCCTCCCACCAAAGAGGAATGAAAGAGCAGGCTCCCTGTCATACCTTTGCCTTTCTTGGCACCAAAGCAGCTGGCAGCATGGGGCCCAGAATTGCTGGCAGGGTTAAGGGGAGTCTCCTGGTAGCGCTCGGCATGCGGGATCTCACGGTGAACTTGGTACGACAGGTTCCGCAGCAGGCAGACACAGTTCTCCACCAACTGAAGTGGGGGAGATGGGAGTGTCATTCACAATGAGACACACCTGGTTTACTGGTCACCGGATACTTGAGCCATAAAAGGGATAGTGTTACAGCTCAGAGGTCACAGAGTGGAAGGGACAATTGTCACCTGGCTTAGGTCCAACACTTCCATGCTTCAGGCCACCGCTTAAGGTAATTCCAATGCTGCCTCCCCGCCCAAACTTCAGAGCCTCGCCCCATTGCTCAGTCCTTAGAATGTGCTTTGCTCTGGGCACCAGGCGCTCCATGGCCAACCCAAGGACTAGGGATGTTCTAGTGTAACCGTTTAAATAGTTAACCAAGCAGCATGAGCTGATCAGTTATGTGTTGGCTACCAGCCCTGCTCCCAGGGAGTCTGCTGTCACCCCGCGTTGCAGCATGAAGTTCATACTGCAGAGCCTGCAGTACAGCTGGTTCCCCAGGAGTGGGTCTGGGAGCTGGCTCCCGGCACACATGGGCTGCCAGCCCCACTCCTGGGGAACCAGCTGTGCTGTGGGCTCTGCAGTAGAAGCTTTATACTGCACAGCCCGCAGTGTGTAACCACTAAGATATTTAACAGTTACCTAATTAACCGCTTTTTAACAGCCCTACTGAAGACCAGCACTTGGACACACTTAAGGCAGAGCAGCCTCTACTTCTGAGCACGGGAAGATCAGTCCAAGTTCAAACCATCTGAAATTGCCCCTCCCTTCAGCCCTGCCCCCACCCAAAGGCTCCAGGGTCTCTCCTTCACTCCCGGTCCTAGAAGGGAGCTGATGCCGAAGAGGAGGAAGAAGTCACAAGCAGGAAAAGCAGTGACTGAAGGCAGGTCAGGACTACATCTTACTGCCAACACCGTCAAACGAAAGCAGAGCCAGATGCACAAGCACTGCTTTGGCCCCAGAGCAGTCTCCTGCCTGCTAGGGATGGGGCAGCATTGCTCCATTACCTTGCTGTTGCAGTCTTTCTGGCCAATCTCTGACTGGACTATGTATATCAGGGCATCCACCAACCCGTCGCACTCGCGCAGTTTTCGACGAGCCTCGCTCCGCTCCGAGCTCACGTTCCTAAAGGGGAGGAGAGTGTTGGAGGGCGAGACGGCCATAGTAGCTGCACCTCAGAGTGGAAGGATTAGATAGATGGTTCTAACTATGTTCCTGCTCCCCGCCAAGCTGAACCACCCAACCCCTACTTGTCTGACAGAAGGGCTGAACTAGACAAGCCATAAGAGGCACACCAGGGACTAATCATGCATTAGAGAGAACATCTTCCCACCACCAAGTTCTACTTCTAGTTGTCCAAGATACCGTGTCTAGAAATCTCCTCTCTCCTAAAGAGTTATGGTGAAGCAGCAGCCACCTGCTTCCCACCCTGGGGAGAGGGATTCCAGGTGCAGCACAAGCTCAGCCAGTGGTGCCCACAGGTCAGACACCACCTTCCTGTTGGCTCTCCTGCGTACCTAAGGCAGCCAGCTGTGTTGGTGAGCACCAACTCCCACTCTATGTGGCGTGGCTTGGAGTCCTCGTTGGGCTCTCGTTCCCAGCCAGAGCGCGGGATGATGACCTCGTCAGTGAGGGCGTGCAGGGCGTGGTCCACAATGGCCATCTTTATTGAGTCATGCGAGGAGAGGTTCCACAATGTCCCTAGGCCGGAGCAAATGCAGCCAGTGAGACCAAGGTACTATGTGGGTCCCCTTCCCCGGACACATTTACCAGCCCGCCCATTACCTGTGATGACCTCAGTGAGATCCATGTCACGAGCTTTGCGCAGCAGCCGCACCAGGGCGGGAACGCCATCGCAGTTCTTGATGGCAATCTTGTTGTCCTGGTCTCGGCCAAAGGAGATGTTCTTGAGTGCCCCACAAGCCCCGTAGTGCACCTCCTTCTTGGGGTGGTCCAGCAGCCCCACCAGCACCGGGATGCCCTTTAGCTTGCGCACTTCCGTCTTCACTTTGTCATTGCGGTAGCACAGGTGCTGCAGGTAGGCCGCTGCGTTGGATTTCACCGCATCCAGCCGGAAGCTCAGCATAGCAATCACCTCCGGCAGCTCTGGCTGGCGCCAGTTGGCTGGCAAAGGCCCTCCCTTCCGCAGGCTGTCCAGGCTCGCCAGGCTGCCCCGCTCATGCTGGGCCAGTGGGGCCCAATAGTACTGATCAGGGGCCACCTCATCCACCAGCATATCCTCATAACTCCTGCAGAGGGGAGTGGGACAGAAAGGGGAACAGAGCATGAACTCCATGAAGAGCACACCTCAGCCTTCAGCCCCTAATGCTGGGAAAGAGAATCAGAGGGGTTACCAAGAAAAGATACATTGAAAGACTAGAACTCCGAAACCTGGGGAACACATGCCTGTGCACAGAGAGTATCAACATCCTCCAACATAGGCCCCCCCGGACTAGAGAGCCCCTTCCCTCCTCAGAAGGGCAATTCTGTCTTCCTGGTGCTTGGCCTTGACAATGAACCTTCTCCACTGACAATCTTAGTTAAGAGGGTCAGATGTAGGGTTCTGTCTGTTAGAAGCTTGACTGTGGCCAGCCAGGTCCATACCCTCTTTCCTCCCAGCCCTTCAACCCAAGCCATGTGATGGAAGGAGCTTCCTTTGCCTGAGCAGAGAAATGTTCCATAAGGGGATGCAGTGCCCTGGGTGACTGCAGCTACTCCGTCCTTTGAGGCAGCAACTTACATTGCCTGACAAAGCCCTGATCTCAGCTGGGCCTCTGGATACTCCACTAGCATGCTGAGATTACCCTCAGACCTAAAACTAACACAAGCCGCAGCTCTGTTTTCCCATCAGGCAGAGAAGGGCCTGAACAGTTCTAGCCTCTGGCCACTAGAGGGCAAGCTGGTGCCACCAATGTAAATCCTGAGAAATTAGGAGCCGGAAACAATTTTAGGTCATCAAGCTTGCTCTCCCCACCCTAGGGAAGGATCACTTCTATTGATTATTCTCCAGAGCCTCAGCCAGGCTGGTCCTAAGCTTTTCATGTAAAGAGAACTATTACAGACTCATTTGATGGGTACAGACTCCTGTTAGGTAGCTGAGTCAGATTCCAAGGGGAATTCCTATGGATACAATATATTTCAAGACAGCAAGTCCCTCCCTTTGCCCAGAAGCTGTTAGTGATGTTGAAAATACCAACACGCACAGCTCAAGTGCAAAACTGCTTTTGAAAAAATGCTTTGGGAAGCCATATCAGGCCAGATATTTTCCATGTAATGAATTTTAAAGTGGTCACCCATGTGACCTGGGGTGGTGAAGACTTAAAAAGCCATTTTTCTCCCTGAATAGAAGGGGGCTCTGAGCCCGGCCTAGATGCTAATGCAACACAAAACAAAAATGACTGTGTTGCAGCATGGGGATTAGCAAGGGAAAAGCCTACAGGAATGTCAGCTTGTAGTTCTAGCATTGAACTAAGACTCTTGAGATTTCATGTCAGTTCCTAGCTCTGACAGACACAGTCATGCTGTCCAAGTCTGCACATCTGGGCTATTCCATCTTCTGCAGAGTGGAAGAAGAAAAGGACTTCTCATACTGACTCTCGGTTTAGGGATGCATGCTCTGAGGCAGGGGCTGTCCTTACTGTACATATGGTGCCTAGCACAACAGGGCACCAGGAGCAATACCAACCAGCTTAGTAAATCTCAGCGGGGTAATCATGTTAGTCTGCAACTTTAAAAGTGACAAATAGTCCTGTGGCACTAACCAGCTAATATCACTCTTTGCTGGATGCAGACAAAGAAAGAAAAACAGCACATGCTGATGAGTCCATTCTGTTAACGCTTTCAACTGCATCAGATTTGTTTCAATTCCTACAATGTGATTGTTAAATTTACCATTCCAGCCACAAAGAGATCCTACTTGCTCGCCCTTTTACCACGAGGACAGAAAAGCTATGCCACCACACACGCTGGACAAAAATGTTTTGCACATTTGTAACTTGGTCAGCAGAGATCAGAAGGCCAGTTTAAAAATAAAGCCAGTCTTAAAAAAAGAGGCACTGAATAAGGCTGTTAAAATGCCTTGCATGTGCAATACCCACACAATGCTGTGTTCAGACAGGTGTTTTACTGAGCCCTCTGGATAAATAGCTGTGGACGAGAACTGAAACATACCAGCACACTAATATCAGCATAAGCACTAATAGACATACCTATTCTGACACCAACTTTTATGCCAGTAGTTTGTCAGTACTAGTGTAAGCTATGCAGCAGAAACCATCATAGACTGCCATACTGTAGAAGCTGCACTACATTAGGACAGTTTACCAGTATAGCTATGCCTGCAGAACTTTTAACAGAGAAAATTTCTTAGCTAGGTTGCCAACTTTGCCTAAAGGCAAGGTTGCTCAATTGTGAAGCTGTCTCTTTGCATCTGATCAAGCATAGGACATGCCCACTCACCAGGTGGAATGGGTCTCCCCTTGGGATAAAAGTAACTATAGGCTACCCGAATTCCTAGATGCCACCTCCTACTTAGATGGAATTCCATGCCAAATAGTAACAGCCTGGTATAAGAAGTGCCATGACATCTAGTTCTGAGTATCTGACTCCTCCCAATGGTGAGCATGCTGGATCGGTATTAGCTACATCGAATAACTGTCTGATCAGCGGTGCAGCTTCATGTCCGACTAGTTACGCCTGTTGAAGTGGCAATTCTGTTTGAGAGTCACCCTTACAATCCACTTTGATTGAGCCAGAACTCGCCAATGGTGATTTTGCTGCTTCGCCACCATTAGTGGTTACACTGCAATCCAGTGCTCCATAGCCACATGCCTTGGTGACAGGGTGTACAGATTGACTGCCACGTTGCCTCTGTAGTTTGACAGACATCTGAACCTCTAGCAGCACAAGACATGAGCTCAGTAACAAGCCACGCTGCAGACCGTTTCTTACTACGCCATGGTGGAGTACTCCTTGATTGTTACATCTGCTATATCCAGTTTGGATGAGTATTAAGCATTCACCCTAAGCTGGGCTGCATCAGAGAAGTTCTGAATGCCTCGTTACAGTGAAAGGCCACACTCTGGGACAATCCAAGCATTTCCATGGGAAAGCGAAGGAGGAAAGAACTGATCATCTACAGTGCTTTGATCTCATTCAGTTTTGCCGCCTGAGGTTTTGTACGTGCTTAGCAAGTTGCAACTAGACACGAGAAATGGACCCTTGTCCTTCATGGCTGATTATAGCCAGTACAGACACTGGGGGTGGGGGATGTGTTGTTAAAGACTCCCTTCCAAGAGTGCTTGGCAAATTGTCCTCCTGAAGTAAGTATGGGTTAGGATCTTGCTCAATACAAACATCTTGGGGTTGTTAATCTTGCTGAGTATTATCCCCAAAACTGGGAGATTCGAGACAGAAAGGTAATTGAGATAGTGGTGATGAGCCAACGCCAACACTGCTTGGATTCCATGGATTTCTGTGATGCTTATCAGCCTATCCCTGACTAAAACAGTGTTTCACAGCTCCGGAGCTGGAGGATAAAGGCTGGGCAGCCACACTGATTCTGCAGACAGTCTGACACCAGTGAAGACAGTACTGCTGGCTGCCAGCATACTGCCATTGAGCAAGTCAGTGAGCGAATTCCATCTTTCCCAAATGGGAGCCCAGGGGGCTGTGCTACGAGACTCGCCCCAGAGCCTGCCTCAGAGCTTCTCTATTTCCCCTTCCTGTCTGGTGTCTGCCTGATGCCATCAGGGGGCCCGAGAGTCCTTTGGAGGTGCTGCAGCAATCCCAGAACACATCAACATGCCAGAGTTTGCAATGGCTGCAGACCAGATTACTCAGGACAGATTCTTCATCCCCAGTCCAGACTTAGGACTGGCAAGTTTGATCCCTCCTGTGCTGAGTGGCATGGCTTCCAGCCTTTGGAATTCACTTCTCTTGGCAGCCCAGACACAGAGCTAAATGACCTTCAGGGCTAAGAGAAAGAGGCCTGGCTCAGCATACAGTTAACTCCTTTTACCTGTACATTTCCAATCTCTACAAGGAACAAGTCTACAGCAACAAGCACGTTAGGAATTTTACTAAGCGTTCAGCTTTGGAGCTCAGTCCCTGTCAGACACACAACAGCACCAAAGTATCATGTAAATATAGAGCTCAGAAAAAAAAAAAAAAAAAAAAAAACCACGCCAAGACCCTTGTACGCACTAGGGATGTTAAGGACTAGTGGACTATCAGATAGTCAACAGGATAGTTGACTAGTTGCTTCTCCCCCCCTTGCTACCTCTATCAGATAGAGGCAGCAAGAGGGGAGAAAAAAGGGGAGGTACTGCAAAGCCTGGGGTCCTGGGCTCCATGCGTTGCTGCCACTTTGAAATGCCGCTGCGTCAAACGGGGCAGTGCCAACCTATCAACTAATCAAATAGGCGATGCAAAAATGCAGGGGGCAGTGCCACCCTATCAACTAATCAAATAGGCGATGCAAAAATGCATCAACTACTCGATTAGTCAATTACACAATACTTAATATCCTTACTAAGTATTAGATGTTCTAGTGTGTACTATCAAGGTGTAGGCAACAACTTCCTGTTGGGACGTCCCTGTCTGGCTCCCTTCCTCACACTGGCTCCTCAGTTTATTTTGTGTAACAGTACCTCAGCAGCCCTCCTAGGAAACCACAGCGTCACAGAAGTAGCCGTGACATACTTTTACAGGAACCTAGACTGCAGGCATCCAGTCAAAGATCTACTTGCCTAATCAGCTAGGGAAGTGACTGATCTGCCCAAGACACAGTGGAACCAACTGCTGTTGTCAGATTTGTCAGCTTCTCCCCCACACACATGATGTTTCTTCAAGGGCAGTGCACCTCAAGTCAGCTGTCTGCCCAGGAATCAATCCTCCCTCCAGCCTGAAAGCTTGGGCTACAATCCCAGTGTCCCAGCTCAGTAGTAGCTGCAAGTTTAAACCAATGCCACACTGAGAAGAGTTCTGGGACTTTGCTTCAATGCACAGCAACACCCGATTCACCGCTGTTACGCTATCACGTCACTGCATGAACCACCAAAATGCAGCCTTTCCTATTATTTTGTACAACCCAAATAGACCCAGATTATAGGGCCAGGCTTACAGGAACAGAAACCTCTGCCAAACTGGCAAAGAGCATCTTGACAATGCAAGGGGGAGGGACGGAGAACAAGAAGCCTTAGGATTCAAAAGGAGTCCTTTTCTCCTCGCTAAACTTTGCCCACCGACAAAGCCATGGAGCATGCTATCAAGAGACGGTATGTCCAAAACAAAAGCCTCCAGACAGCGCACCACAACTCTGTAGAACTCCTTGCTGTGTAGGAGGTAAAATGCTGCAACTGCATAATTTTTAGAGTCAGCTAGACAGTCCCAGCTATGATAATTCTAGAGTATTAACCACATCCCCAACAAATACACAAGCTGTAACTAGGTGTCTCATTGAGGTCCACATCTTTGTTGGAACCACACATTACAGAGCACTAAGAGTGGGGTGGGAAAACACTCAGAGGACCAGCAATCTGCTACAGTGTGTAAAGCCTGCCTTTCCTACCTAAGTCGCCGCCGGGGGTCCGAAGGAGTCCCTGCCCGCCTGGCTGTGCCATAGTCCGGCATCATCCCATAATCCATGTCTTCATAGCCAATGCTGCGCTGGTCATCCTCCAGCCCGTATGGCTCTGGATGAAAGCGGTTTAGGTCCACGTTGCTTCCCCCTACCCGCACCTGTGGCTGGGGACCATAGACATCCTGCCGGCTGGGGGCCCGGTAGCCATCCATGGAGGGACGGTAACGTTCATCAATACGGGTCACACGAGACAGGCTGCCGTAGTTGTTGTCGCTACCAGGGTAGCCGTCCTCATAGGGGCGGCCATAGCCATCTGGGTAGTGATAGTTGCGGGGGAGGGTGGCAGTGCCAGGCTGGCTCATGTAGCTGCCAGGCCCCCCGTTGCCATTTTTACGGAAGTTCCTGTCCATGGTCTGGATGTAATTGTTGGAGACAGGAGAACCCTCCACAGGTATCCCATCTGGCCCAACGGGGACCTGCTGTACTGTCCGTGTGGTCACAGTCTTCACCACCTTCTTTACCTGAAGAGTGGGTAGAAGGATATGTTCTCAGATCACATGTACCAGAGCTGCGGATGCCCCCTAATCGTCCCAACCTCCCTGTTCTCTCAGCCCTGGACAGTCCCACAGCACTACTTATGCTCCCTGCATAGTCCTCCTCCCCAGCTTCAATTAACAATGCTTGAGACACATGCAGTTTAGTGCATATGCCCTCTTACCAACCTCTTGGAGAGGTCAAAATCAACACCACTGAACACAAAACAGTCCCCTTTTACTGTTCCTCACCGTGGTCTCTGTGCGCCGGGTTGTCCCATCATCCGACGTCTCCACTGACACAACCGACATGGCGCCCTCCGGATCCTCCTCCATGGTGTATGTCTCCTCCACAATCTGCCCTGGGTCCTGCATCCTGGGGACAGTGCTGTACAGGAGGTGGCTGCGGTCCTGGGGTGAGGAAGGCCAAACCAAGTCAGCCCAGATTGCAAATAGCAGCAGATCCCACCAACAGGAGACAGTACATCTGTTACCTTAGCCTGACTGATACCAAGAGAAGTTCCTACAACCTTCCATGAAATTCCTGATTTGTCCCTGTCTCCTTGCTTAGGGACTGCACTAATCTCTCTCATGGGTCCCTAAAAGGGTGGGTCCCACCTGACCAGTGGGTCGTGGAAAGGGCTGAGTGGGTCACCTGTCATTGCCCTCTGCTCTTGTTGGCCCCAGAGGCTCCCCACATCCCATTGTCACTGTTGCTAGGCTGGGACAGCAGGCAGCACCATCTGGAAAGCAGTGGCCTGGTAGCAAGGCCAGCCAGGCCAGTGGGGTGGGGAATGCACAAGCAGGATGCTCTCCTCCCTTTGATGCAGGGAAGACAAGATTGCATGGGCCCCTCATTGGGAGAGGGACCTGTCCCATGTGGGGATAGCGCATAAAAGATCTCAGAGCTCAGAGGACTGTTCTGTGTTTTCCGTCTTCCATTCTCATTGAGAGGAGTGAAGACAGAACTACATGGGTGTAGCAGGAATCCTTAGCGTTATCTATCCACACCAAACTGAGGACAGAGAGAAGGTCTCTCACTTTAATGGGAGTAACTGGGATGCAGGAAGGTACTGTCTATGCTACTGCTGCCCTCTACCTCCATGTTCACATGTGGCAGCTGCAGAGCCCAGTTCTTTGGCACACAGGCCAAGCCCTTCCTCCACCCCCAAGCTCCTGCTGCCACTACAGGGCATATGCCCAGGGAATGCAATGGGAGGTGTGCCTAGAATACAGGGATTTGGGGGAAGGCTTTCTGCAGAAAGCATCTACTCAAAGGAGAGAGGCTTCCCTGGTGCTAGCTTGGTGGCAGCAGAGGGGCAAGTATGCACCACGGCACAAAGAGGGGTGGGGAAGTCTAGCCAGATACACTTGGAGAGATGGGTCCCTTCCACAAGAAGAGACCAGCCACTGAGGGCTGGAACTGAGGCCTTGCCCCCTTGTAAGGCAATACCACCCTCTCAACAAGAGATACCAGCTCCTCCCAGGGGTCCTTTACCGGTGGTCCGTTGAGTTTCAGATCTGGAAACTTCTGCCTTTCCAGGTCAGCATCGCCCAGGAAACGGCCGTTCTGAAACAAGCCACATTAGCTCATTACGCTGCTTCCTAGCCCATCACCCCAGATGTTTGGAGGCAACAGGACAATGCAAGAAAGGCCAGGCCAGGCCCCCTTAAGATTAGTGCCCCAACTCCACCTTGTGAGGACTGTACCGACAGCCTCACACCCTAGTCTGATTTCCAGACTCAGCAACAGCCAGTTCCAGTGCTTCAGAGGTTAGCAGCAGAGAGATGTTAAGAGCAGCCAGGGCCATTCCATGCCCCAAGGTCTCAGTCCCCTACGCAAAGTGGCACAGTCTGGTCCTAGTACCATAGAGGTTTGTGCAACACAGCCAAGCAGGAGATGGATGCCACTGTCCTGTCCAGTCCAGTCTGAGGAGGCCCCAGGAGGAGTTTAATAAGCAGCCTTCTACAATGCTCCACCCTCTAGACATCCCTATGCTCCCACAAGACTGCCAGACTATTCTGATGTGCTGCCTGTCAGAAGGGCCAGCCCCCCTCCTGGGCACACACACCCCCATCCTCATCCCAGAGGGAAGAGACAACACAAGTCACATCTTCTGATGTGGAAGCCATTGGCCACCAAACACCACCTCCCAGTATCTCACAGAGACAAGAGGGAACAGCGTGGGGAGTCAAATGCAGACCAGAGGGTAATGGCTTTTCACTCCAACATCTTTGCATACACTCCCTTCTCCCACTTACGGCCCATGGCACTGTCACCCCTTTTGAAGTATACACATGCACTTGTCTAACTCCAGCAGAGCCTGGGAAGTTTCTCAGTAGCACCCATAACCTCAACCAAATAACCAAGCCCTTTGTGCCCAGCACAGTCAGTGCAGCTGTCCTCTAGCCCTTTAAAATAGGGTCCGAAGGGTCTTGACATCAACCCCTTAATAAAGCCCAACAGACAAAAGTGAGCGATAGCCACAAGAACAGAAAGATCAAGCCAGATTCACCGCAGCAGGCAATACAAGTTAGGAGCCCTGGAGACTCAAGCAGACTCTTCCCTCCTCCCCTCCTGGCACTTGCCCTGTCCCCTGTGACTACCCGTTATTTGAAGATGCTAGCCAGGAACTTCAGAGTAGGGTACTAAACCCAGGTCTCTGACACTGCACTTGTGTGACCATGGCCAAGTCAATTGAACTCTTGGTCTCAATTTCCCATCCAGATCAATGGGGCTAACAGCTCTGCCTAACACAAAGCTGGGGGTGGATACAATGAAGATTAGGAGGGGTCAAGATAACGTGACAGTGGGGACAACAAACATAGCATTGCCTCTACATTGGTGCAGCAGCACATTCTGTGGGCAGGGGCTTCACTTGAGCCCAGAGAATCATTGAGAGCCACCTGTGAGGGTTCCTGGATTCTGCCTGTCACATCCCTATGGTGGGCACTTTAAGCTAGTGAAGTGATGCCTGTTTTGTAGAGAGGATACCAGGCAAGCAGAAATGCCAGGACCTTCTGCCTCATTAGTCACAGGGGCAGTGGAACCAGAGGCTCCTGGTTCCCCAGGAAGGGGGTCCACCCCAAGTCTCCAGCATGATGGAGCCTGACCCATGAATCCAGTCCCCAGCTCACCAGTCTTACACTCAAACACATGCTGGGCCCTCTAAGCATCAGTGAGGGGGCAAGGGATACTACCTCACACCCCCAGACCTGCAGTGAACCTGGTAAGTTTTTACAGCAGTTACACAAATCCATTAGGTGTGGAAATAGCTCCTCTGAGGGGTGCCATTTGGGAGAGGGCAGGAGACACCTGTTCTATTGTGGGGCAACTCTGGTAGGAGCCAGACGCTCCACCTGAATCTGCCCCAGTTCATGCAGGGGCAGCCAAAAGGGCTCTGTCAAGCCCCATGTGCCCAACTTTCCAAGGGGGGTTTTACCTGGTGCCGGCGGGTGAGGGTACCGTTGGCCATCGTCTGGCTGGCGTCCTGCGGGGAGACCCGGACGCGCTCCAGCTGCGCCGAGACGTGGCGCCGCTCCTCCTCCAGCGCCCGGGTCAGCTTCTCAAACTGCGCCTCCTGCTCCTTGACGGAGGCCAGGATGCTGGCAGTTGACTCCACTTCTGAGTCGTCCATGACGAGGGCCCCGCACAGGGGGGAGGGAGGGCGTAGGGCACGGGGCGTGAGAGAGAACCAGCGTCAGACAGGGGGGCGGGGAAGGAGACAGAGGGGGAGGAGCTCCTCACTTCATGACATACAGTTGAGGGAAGGAGAGAAGAGATCAGAGACAGATGAATTATCAACTCGCAGGCCAGGTTCTCTCAGCACTCAACGAAAGAGCAATTGTCAACTCTGCCACCTTCCCTCTAAGGGACAATAGTAACAACTGCCCCAGGACAACTATCCTGCCATGCAGGAAGGAAGTGTCACCCCTACAACAGGAAGCTCAGATGTATGCTCAGCAGCTCCTGCCCTCAAGTCTAGAAATGAGGCTTCCCAATCCTCCTCCTCTGACAAAGGCCTCAACAGGACCTGTACAAGCAAGGCAGCTCTGACCCCTGCCGCTGGTGCAGTCCAGACAGAGAGAGTCTTATCTCCACTGAAGGGATCCCCGGTGGATAGGGAGGAACCCTGATCAGGACAGAAGCTTGGGAAAGAAGTCTCCTGAACCAGCTCCACTTAAACACATTCCCATTTCATTGATTTGAGGGATACCTCCTAATCAGGCCCCTCGCAACCTTGGGAAACAAGGTCATCTCCAAAGGGCAAATGTGACAGTCACAAGTGGGTGATGATCACTCAGCCGTCTGGCTGGAAGGGAAATAAATGATCGGATCCTTCCTCAGCCACAACTGCTCCCGGTGAGCAGAGGCCCTGTAGGGAGGTGTTCCAACCAGAACCTTCGCGGGTACCTGCTTTGGTAAGGGGAGATGCTTCCTGCCATACCATTCCCTGATGGAGGCAGAGTGCTGCTGTTTAGAGAATTACCCATTTGACCTGTGAGACCCAACCCATTCCATGCTAATTCAGCCCAGGATTTCACAACCCTGTTAGACATTCCCTTCATGGGGCAGGGACCCAGTGGGAACACCATACCTGTTAACTCACACCCGGGAGTCACTCCCACAAACCCCACTCAGCTTCCCTGTTACTTTAGACTCACCTAAGACTCAGGGGCCAGACGCAACCCCCAGCTTGCCTGGATCAAACCCCCAAGGCTCAGGGTTTCCTCCCTAGCAATGGGGAGCCTCCTCCTCTTGGGGCTGGAGCACACAAAAATCTACAAGTCTGGGCCCTCCTAGGCTCTGGTGTGCAAGAGGAATGTGCAGTGTCTCCCTCCTTCTCAGTCGGGGGCCTCATCAGTGAGTGAGTTATTTGTTTTTAAACTTTTCACTTGTGTGCGGCCCTCCCCACCGACTGATTTTTCTGTGGGTAAATGGCCCCAGACCCAAAATTGGTTCCCTACCTCTGCTTTAGACAATATGACTCAATCCACTGAGACCTAGGACATTAAGACTAGTTGTGAGGAGGGTCTGTGGCCCTAAACCCTAGAAGTGAGGGTGTCACACTGCCTTCTGACCCACCTTCTGTGTTGGCAGAGAATTATATATAGTGAAAAAGGAGGGAATCAAAAGGTTTTAATTCAATATTAAAATGAACAGTTTTCCATACACACCTGTAAGGAAGGAAGATGGGATTCGATTGGCTAAGGCACAGCACAGCCAGGTCTAGATGCAAAAAATCATGGGAGAAGCAGCCCAGCCACCACCAATGAGGAAACAGGAGGGAAGAGAGCTGTAGAGACAGTCAGGGGATAAAACAGAGTGAATATAACATGGGAAGGAGGGAGGCAACAGAGGGCATGTCGAAAATGAACAGGGGTAATAGGGCATTATGGGTGACATGGAATTGCTTAATGTGACCTTCAAACAACATTGCCATCCCTTGCAGAAAGGGATGGAGATTGTCATGGGAGGAGAGACTGCCTCTCACCAGTGGGGGCACCTTGGGGTCAGCTGTACACACCTTGTGCAGCATCTAACACAGGATCTTACCTCACTGAAAAATGGCTCTGAACAGACTTGCCCCAGTGTTGCCCACTCAATTCCAAAGGTCCTGCTACCTCCTAATTGTGTCTGGATGCACTCCCATGGGTTCACCCAGCCAAGGTAGTTCCTTACTAGCCCCTTCAGCACCCACCCACCTGAGAAACCTGCATTGGAGTCAAGAGGTGGGCCGCCCTCAGAGCCGCTATGTCCCAGCACATCTGCTAAAGTATTTTAGCAACATACACAGCCGTGACAGGGAGGGCAGACATGTGAGGACTAGTCCAGCTTCTGCGCCAGCTGCCTTGGCTCACTTTCCCACGCTCCCCAGCAAGACACCAGTGCTTGGAGAATGTATGTGTCTGTTCTTCACAATCCAGGCCCAGAGTGTCTGTTTTGCATTCCACCTCCCCCCACCCAGTGCATGCCCTACCCTCTCCTGCTGATGTCCAACCCTGGACTCCACCCATGCCCCTCAACCACAACATACATCAAACCCAGTTACTCCAGTGCATGGATCGCTAAAAGCACAGACTTTCCAATCATTTCATTTGTGACGCAGTAAAACTAAACCAGACCTGCCCCTTTTAGAAGAAGGAATAAGACCTGCTAAGAGGCACAATAGCCATCTTGGCTTCAGTTCTTATCAAGTACTACAGCACAGAGAGGACTTTGAGCCCAGCAAGAGATTTTTTTTTAATTTGCTCTGGAGACTGTCTGAATTGCATTTTAACATCTGGTGGCCTCCGCCCTGTAATCTTCTTTCACCAATAAAAAAAATCCAGTTCTACTGCTGGGCACATCCTAAGCATGAGCAGAAGAGACCATGATCTGCATGCACACACCCATCCCCACCAGCACTAGCTTCCTCTCCCAGTACACAAGTCAGCTTGCTTTATCTTCCAGCACTCATGCTATTCCAGTTGGGCTGCAATGCAGCAAGCTGACAAATTTTACAGGTAGATACCAAGCCTACTGAGCTTCAGCCAGAGTGTGAGGAAGGGAGATCAGAGCATATGCCCACGTGTAAACTGGGTCATAGTTTTGGGGTGGGAAGGAAGCCCTAGTCTGGTCAGAGAGCAATGACTGCAGGCTGCCAGTCCCAAATGGTTGCTGTGGGTGACTTTTTCCACTGCCACTAAGTAAGGGTGAGGACTGGGCCTAAGGCTGCCTTACTAGCCCATGGGCTCCAGCATATACTAAGTACAGAGGTGGGGGTGAGGAAGAACAATGTACCCGCATGACCTAACATTTAAGAACACAAACCTATGGTTAGAGACTGCAAGCCAAAACTTGCAGACAGGGCAGAGCTGACCTGCCAGCAGACAGAAACCTTTCCCCCTTCACTAACACAGGGGTTCTCAATCTTGGGGCTGTGACTGCTCACAGGGTTGCAAGGTTATTGTGTGGGAGTCATGAGCTGTGAGACTTCACCAAGTCTCTTTGCCGCCAGCATTTAAAATGGTGTTATTAAAAATTATTTTTATATTTAAGGGGCATTATGCTGAGACTTGCTGCGTGAAAGGGTCACCACTAAAGATGTTTGAGACCCACTGATTGAGAACCAAGGACTGCACTCAAGTGTTAGCCAGCGAAACAGTGAAGGAGCTAGTTCCCTGAGGGCTGAGCATCATCACACCCCTGGGGTCTCAGAGGCACTTCTCAAACCCATTGCTAGAACTTTTGGTCTGTTTGTTCTGCTTCTCCAATGTTAGTTTCCAGAGCAGAATTCTGACCTGTACTCCATCCTTGGAGGGAGGGGGGGAAGTCACCCCCTCCCCAGAGGGAATAGGGATGCGAACAACTAGTCAACTATCTGATAAGCAAATGTTTATCAGACTGTTGACAGGCTAGTCGAATAGTTGTTCTCCCCCTCTCCCTCCACACTGCCTCTATCAGAAAGGCAGCGGGTGGGGGTGGGGGGGGGAGGAAAGGGTACTTCATAGCAGCAACACCTCATGGAGCCTAGGGCTAGACCCCAGGCTTAATGGCATGCAGCCCGAGGTCAACTGGTCCCCAAGCTGCACGTGGCATTTCAAAGCAGCAGCGCTGCTTCGAGCCCAGGATCAGCTGAGGACTCCTGCCCAGTGCTTTCACCTTTTAAGGCTGTTGCTACACTTCAAAGGTGGAGGCACCCCATCGACTAGTCAGTACAAAATGCATCAATTATTCGATTAGTCAATTACTTGCAATTTAACATCCTTAAGAAGGAATTTATTTAAGGGTCTGCCACCCAATTCCCAGTCAGTCTTAAAACTGCTACTCCTGTCTCTTCATAGCACAAAAAGTAACATAACTATCCCTCAGGGTCTGTAACTTTAAAGACAAGTAGTCCTGTGGCTCCTGTGACACCTTACAGACTAACACACACACAGAATCATGAGCTTTCATGGGTAAAACCCACTTGCCCATGGAAGCTCATGATTCTATATAATTTGTCTAAGGTGAGACAGGACTACTCGTCTTCACAGCACATGTGGTAACAGCTTCCCACCGTCCCCTTGGGATCACCTGCTCGCTTAGCCATGTGGAATAGGTAATTTTCAAACCAAAGGAGGAAGGACAGTCCAGTAGTCAGGGAATGAACCTAGAACTTGAGCCCTACACTCAAATCTCCTACTCTGCCACAGATTTCTGATAGAGACCTTGGGTGAATCATTTATCCTCATTTTAGAGGCGAGAATTGAGGCACTGAGCAGCTAATAGCTCCATGCTGCCTCACATAAGTGTTGCAAGGATAAATATTAAAGACACTGAGGTGTTCAAAATACTATGGCAGAGAGGGCTGTATTCCTAAAAGATACTGCAACCCAGCTGGTTGGGGTCGCCTGTCCCAAGGCACACTTAGCCAGCCCATGCCCTTTTGGAAATTTGTTTAACAGATGCTCTTAGCCTGTTATTTAGTTCCCTAACTTAATGCAACAAACAGAATGGTTAGGAGTGTGATGTACAAGATATTACTGCTACATTCCTATGAGGCAGTTTCCTTCCTGTCTCCTCCATGTTACAGCCCACGAGACAAACAAGGGGAGAGAATTCAGTTCCTTACTGTGTCTTTATTCTTGCATTATAGTCAGTCATGTTGGGCTTCCCTGAAGATTCATCCAGGCCCTCTTCTAGCTAAAACTACAATCCCAGTGTTTTCCACACAGTAACCCACACAACAGGAAAGGGTCAGAACTGTCCTTACAGTCAGGGAAACGGATAGGACTGACACCCTGAAATCCATGATCCCCCCCCTTTCCTCAGGGGGAGAACCAGCACTGTAGAGAGATCAGTGCCCCCCCTCCACCCCCCATCAGCCAGAGGGCACTTAATTATGCCTTTTCTTCCCCTCTCCCAGGGTGGAGTGCATCAGTGTAAGAGGCACTCCAGACCAGGCAGACACCCACATGCCAGTCTGGTTCACTTGTTCAGCCTTGAGGACCAGAGTGCATCAAACACGTAGTCCACCAGATCAGGCTTGTCAAGTATTGATGAGTAATGGCTGTAAACCACCCCAAGCTGGCACATGTACTCCGACAAACAAGGTACAATCTTCCTCCAGGTGAACATGTGTAACAAGGAACCTTTGCAGACCAGCATTCATGGTTATTGCCCCTTTCCCACAGTAGCATCTCGGATCCCTGTTGTGCTACGTGCTGCATATAAACTGAGTTGTATAAACTCTCTAGGGCAGGAGCTATCTAACAACGCAAAGCAAAGGGCAGGAGGTGAAGCAGGCAAAGCAACATGCACAAGGCTTCCCAGCAGGTCAGTGGAAGAGCTGAGAAAACCTGAGTTCTTTTCCAAGTCCCATACTAAAGCCCTAGCTATTACAGAATGCAGCATCTTTCAAGGACTCATTCCGTATAGGCATCCAAGAGCTAGGTTTTTAGTAGTACTAAGCAGTACTTGTTCTAGAATAGATTACATACAGAACACCCTAATCCCAAGCACAGCAATGTCCTACCTTATTCAGTATTCAGCTCTCAGACTGCATTGCCAGTCTGAAACAGCTCCTTCAGCTGCCCCCACTGTTCAACATCAAAAATGCTCTACTCAAGACACACACACCCCCAATTAGGGAAGTTAATGGGTTATTCAGGAAGCATCACCCGTAACCCAGTAAACATCACCTGTAACAGTTAACCAATATTCCGGGAGGAGCGTCATGCCTGCAGCCCACCCAGGAAGGCTGCTCCAACCCGTGCAGAGCTGCCAGCTCCCAGCCCACTTGAGCCAAAAGCCCTACTTCCATCCCCATGTGGGCTGGGAGCTGCTGCCCCACATGGGGCCAGTAACAGCCATACTGGAGTGCTCCCCCACCCCCAGTTTAATCAGTTAACTGGGTAAACATTAAGTCTAACTGGTCAACTAATTAAATGGGATTTTACATCCCTACACTGAAGTGGCACATTGGTGGTATCTGAATAGTACTTCATTACTGTTAATTCACACAATGCAGCAACAGCTCATGCAGTCCTCTCCCCACTAGTCAGTTTCTGATGACAGTATGAGGCCCTGGTCCCAAGCTCCAAAAAAAGTCAGCAAAAATCAAGCCTCAGCTGCATCAGACCAAGTTTTGATCTATGAACCACCAACAGCTGTGCTTCTCCATAAAGATGTGACTCACAAAGCATGCAAAAGCTAGGAAACAAAGCACTCTGGGTCAAAGGGATAGAGCTGTGGAAATAAATTGGGGGGGGGGGGGGAGGAGAAGAGAGAGAAGGGGAAAGGGAAAACAAGGCACATCTAGCATCTGAGAAT